ACTACTTGAAAAATGCAAGCAGAACGTCGACGTTTCGAGCAAAGGCATACTTTGAATATACAATATTTTAGTAGTCTATATCTTATTAGACAAAATACTGTACCTTGGACATCTATCTTGTTCCAGGTTCCGGTTCCTGTATCGTCGCATTGTTTTTTTGGTATTGACTTTCCCTCAGTGTTCGCCATTATACAGTAAGCACGAAGCTCTAGGAAGATGTTCTGTGACTGATTGATTATGACAATGACAAAAGACGTAATTGGCTTACATAAACCAAAGGAATATTGTTCTTGCTTCGCTTTATTCTTTTGTCATTGTTATAATCAACCAATCACAAAACATCCAGGGGCGCCGGAAGCAATGTGAAGCGGCGGGGGCAGCCATTTCAAAAGGGCACTTGCTTCTCAGCCATCAGTTTTCTGAGCGGCAATATTTGTTAAAACTTTATTGTAAGGATACCCAATTACTTGTGGCTATTGTGGGTCGGCAAACTTGGACATTAATTTTGAACAATTTTATTTGTTGCACCATGTTAAGGGCGCAAAATAAAATCAGTAAACGGACGTATATTGCCTGATTTAACATTAATCAGGGGCAACGGAATTGGGGAGGCAATGGGGGCATATGTGCCTCTCCACTTTTTTAAAAGTGAAAAAATGCCCTTTTGGGGGGCTAGAAAGAAAGTGCCCTTTTTGCAGTAGTAAAGACTCTGTAAAGGCCATTTCCGACATTGTAGGGACTCCATATTTTCAAAACTTTTTCGTTCCGCTCGTGAACGACATAAAATCGTTTGATTTTGATCATACTGAATTATACAAAAGTGATTCCGCGGCCTCTGGCATTAATTTTACTATCACTGGTTAAAATTAAGCAAAGATTGCACATTGCTGAAAAATAGTTATAAATTCCAATTCATGTGAATACCGCACAAATTTCGAAGCGTAGTTCTGGTGAAAAAGGGCAACCTGTTGCCCCCGTGCTGCCCCCGCACTGTTTCGGCAACGGGGGCAGTTGCCCCCGCTGCCCCCGTGGCTCCGGCGCCCCTGAAAATATCTTCCTCATAGAGCTTCGTGCCGACCCCCATTATACGCAGGCTGTATATATATATATTGTTATCAATTGTAAACTGAAGACTGAGGTGACTGCCTGATTATAAGTTTGGTAGACGCATTATATATTGTCTTTGTTGAACAGCTGGAATTTATCAGTCTTGTTTTCATAGGCAATAATTTACAAGTCTTTTATTAATTCTTCTTACCAGATTATGTTTGGTAAAGTCAAACTGGTGCAGTCTTTTCATATGCGAATGAGGAAAATCATGCGATCAGAAGCATTTAGGCATACGGGGGCTTCCCGACGTTGACAAAAATTACCCGACTAATACAAGAAATATTTCCGCCATAAATCGAGACATCAATAATTTCTTAATTGTTGCTTTATCTAATACAATCCACAGATATGATCTTATAAATTGAATAGATCTTGAACTAGAAATTTTACGGGTAAATTGTTTGTCTATTAAGGGGCTGATTACATGGAGAGTTTTCAGCCCGGGCTGAGTTTCATCCCGGTTTCCCGGGCTGAAATTTCAGCCCCGCCTAAGGATAAAATCCTATTAAAACACAGCAAGCGATTACATGACCAAAATTCCAGCCTGGGCTGAGTTTCACTGAGCCCGGGATGAGTTTCAGGCCGCATTGAGCTGCCCGGGCTGAAACTTCATTATTTCAGCCCGGGTTGACTATAAATATAGCTCGCTCTGACTAAACTCAGCCCGGATGCATAGCCATGGCATATAACAAAAATACAAATCTAAATTTTACGCGAGAGCCTCGACCGGAAATACAGCTTGACATATTAAAACAATGCTTTGCTTTGCTTTATTTGGCTTTATAAGCATGACCTTATTGTAAGGCTTGCTAAAGCTCTAACAGTAGAACAATACAAATTTACAATAAGCATATAAATGCTTTAATTATTACATTTGAATAGTAACATATTTACATAATACTGTATAAGCAAGTTACGTTAAGTATTGTGAATAAGCCTGGTGTCAAGGCATTCGTTTCGTTTCTTGAAACATGCAAAAATGTATTTCGAAAAAATGTTTACTAGATCTGGATCATTGGAGGATAGTAAATATAACAAGTCGTCATTTGTTTCAAAGTTAATTGGTGTTTTCATTTTGGTTTTGAGAATGGAATTTAGGTCTTTCCTTTGTTGTTCATAATATTTGCAAGAAAGTGAAAAATGGAATTCATATCTTCTATTTCTTTTGCATCACAAAATTCACAGAAACGTTGCTCGCGCGGGATTTTGCGATATCTTCCTTGTTCAATATTCAGCGTGTGCCAACTACTCACACGAAACTGTGTGAGTAGCCTCCTATACGTTGGGTTATTAACTTGGTTGAGATACTCTTCTATTTTAAATTCCGATTTAAACGTCGAAAGGAAATGTAATTTAGGTTATATGGTGGTGTGTGAGCATTTCCAGGTTATTTATCTGGGAGGTTTGGTCAAATGACTTCAATATTTTCATTACGTTAGAATAAAAACCTTGTTGGTTGTTTAAGTGTTGTTCTTTGGACATGATGAATGTTTGTTTAACGATGGTTGAATTAGAAAGTGAATTAATATTAAGGATATATTTAATGAGTCTCTTATGAATATCTAACAAAAGGGGAAATTTGCCTAGTTCTCCTCTAGAGGCAGCGTTAGTGACTTTGCCATGTAATCCTAGATATAGTTTGCAAAATTTGAGATGGGCTTTTTCTGTTGGGGTTTGATTCCATTTATGAAAATCTTTATTGGTGCAGGTATATCCACCCCCCCCGTCGCCAGAAAAATTTCGGTCAGTGTACCATATAAGGGGTCAAAAAAATTTTCCGCACATACCAAAATTTTTCGGAGGATCACATAAATTTTCCAAAAAAACACTACATTTGACACAAAATTTACTAAATTTTCGAAAAAATTGACAGAATTTGTCCGATTTTTTTTATAACAACCCAAAATTGCCCGACTGTTAATCGAATATTGCCCGACTGCCCAAAAAACTGGGGCTGCTTAGGGTACATTGTCGTCGAACAACATCAGAATTCAACCATTCCGAGCGGCTAAGGCACAAGCGCCAACAGCATCTCATCGGAATTCAAGGCGTACCCCCGCCCGGTACGCCTATGCAAACAAGAGAAGTGAGCTTTCTTTTTAATTAGAAATAGTGCTTGTGTTCCTTTATCTGCTAATGTTTTAATTGCTTGAGTAAATGATCCGTTAGATGAAAGTTTGAGTCCAAGGTAGGTGTATTCTTGAGTTTTTTCGATGAGTTTATTTCCAATGAAAAAGTCTGATTTTTCTTAAGTTTTTTGGCAGCATTTTTTATTTCCATGTCCGTTATTAAGTAGTCTAGATTTGTAAAGTGATGCCTATTTTGTTCTTCAACACTAAGGGATGTAGTGATATTATTTTGTAATTCATTTAATTCATGTCTGGAGTGCAATGTTTGAAAGTATGATAACCATTGCTCTTCAGATATAACATTTGAACCCGAACTATTTGGGGTTTCATCCTCTATATTTTTGAGTATTTTCCAAAACGAATTAGGATCATTTTGGGCAGCGTTTTCAAGATCTACGAGTTTTTCAAACTGAAATTTTTCTTTTTTTAATTTTAAAATGTTTTTATAAACTTTCAATTTATTATGGTATCTAATTCTAAGGTTTTCATTCATTGGATCCCTATGTTTTTGGTTAGCTAATTTTCTTACTTCATGCCTTTTCAGAAGACATTCTTTATCAAACCATTTTTTATTACTTACAGTGGTAATTTTTTTCCGTTTTTTGACTTTTTTATTTTAAGGCTTTTATTTCCGGCTTCTATTAAAATATCTTGAAATTCAGTTTAGCATTGAGTAATTCCAGTATCATTTCTAGGGTGATCAGTGTTCATAAAAGTTTGAAATTTCCTTTGTATGGTGGGTGTTCTAAGTTGATCAGTAAATGTTCTATTAGAAATATTTTTATAAATCCATATAAATTGAGGCGATAACTTGTTTGAAAAATTAGGATTCAATGCGCTTTTTGAAAAAAGATCTGTGTCATATTTAATATAATTTAGCCAGGTAGTGATCTGGCTATGGTCAAGGTAACTAGCAGTGGCGCCGGCAAGGGGGGGGGGCAAGGGGCGCCCCCCCCCCCCAATGTTTTCCAGATTGTGGTCTTCATTGTGCAAATAAAAAAATAAAAATAGGAAAGGACAATTATGCGTAATGTATAAGTATTTCCCTTGACTTGCCAAAACGAAATACGGCGGCGACTTCGTGTTGTCGTTGATCATACGATTATTTCTAATCAACGTCATTGAGTCATTCCACAGTAGAAAAATGTTAAATAAGTGGTACAATGATTTGAATAATCTACCAATTTTTTTCCTTCGTCAGCGAAATTCATTTTGGCTCATTGCCTCCCGAAAAAAATCTTGCCGGCGCCACTGGTAACTAGGCTCCTGGATAACAAGAAATTTAATACTGTTAATTAATTCTGTATTACAAATGGCGTAGTCTATGGTACTAGTGCCATCAGCGGGCCGTAGCTAAGATTGCATAGTTGGGGCGGTGTAGGCCAAAAATTTCCGAATGACGAAAGAAATTTCCGAATATTTCATGGCATACGAAGCCACGAAGGTGTTTGCTATCCGGAAAGTGAAAACGCAATTTACAAACAAAAATATAATACTCATATTTTACGCACAGACATATTACAGAAGCGTGCAGTTCCTTAGGAAGTTCTTTTTTATAAGGGGGTGGCGAGGGCCGAAGGCCCGAGGAAATTTTTAAATTTAGAGTCTCTGAAATGCCATTTCGTGGACTTTGGGGGAAGTTTTGACAGAATTCTGATGGTCAGAAAACAGAGTTTTAGCACGTCGAAATTTACAATTAATTTGCTTACAATTTAGAAGAACTAAATGAGCGAAGGCGTATATGGGTAATATGATTCTTAATTCTTTACGGTTTGTCATGGATAATGTAGCCGCTTAAAATTAATCAAATGTCAGTATTTTAAAGATATATTGAGGGCTGCCCCCTCCCCCCCCCCCGGTGCTACGGCCCTGGGAAGTAATAAACCGAAAAACATTTACCGATCTACGATTTGTTAAATGTTATCCATGTAAATGCCGTGATTTTGTAAATCAGTTTATGATACTGACAATACAATTTTATAATATTTTCGATGCATGTTTAATTAAACCACAGGCGGCCCAATCTCAGAATGAATGATCAGGTGTTGCGGGTTTTTAACGGTTTTATAAACAAATTTATATTCAACCAAAACTATTTTAAAAACATTCTTAAATTAGTCAAATAAATACATTTTAACAATAAAATATAGTTGACATGATAGTATAATACCTTTGCATTCTTTTAATTAATCCATGAGCTCATTTAGAGCGGTTGATGTAACATTTTCTGTGGCCTACATTGTGTGTGCTCATCTATATATAATATAACAGTAAAAGGCTAATCACTGGCGGCACGACCGCATCGCCTTCAAAGTCAAATATCTCCGCTCAAGCTTCTCGTACGCCAAAACAAATTCGATTACATCTTTTCACAAAGATTTCTCTTTCTAAATAATGTG